GATATTGAAAATAATTGTGTGACTGTATTTAGTGCTTTTAAATTTTTCTATTTTCAGCAGTTTGTAGTGTAGAAAGGTGAAGAGACTAGGCCCTTGGACATTTGACGGCTCCTAAACTACAAATCATTAATGGATTTAACCACTGTTTCAACATTTTCAAACTTTTCCTTTCCAGTGATATCCTCGTTACATTTCACTCCTTTCAAATATCTTCTACTCAACTCCTTGAAATAATTTTTTCATTTGCTTATAATATCAGTTGTCAGGATTCCTCATTTTTGAGCTCCTTCCATGCAATAAGCAGAAGCTGCAGAAACAATAACAGTAGATGCAGTAACAATGATGAAATATCCTACAAAAAATGTTAACATTCAGTGAGGTCATATAAAATATTTTTCATTAAAACTAAAATCTGCAATGCGATTCAATTTCAGTATTTGGCATCTTCGATTGCTGTTCTTATTACTGCAGACGCCAATGATGTTGAGACAACAGGCTCTTTAAACAGATGGATCGAAAAACCGGAGGACAGTTAAAAGTTAATAAACAGGAACAGAAACAATTTTTAAAGGTGAAAGAGGAGAAGACGACGAAGAAAAAGCATGCGATTTTTATAAGTAATTGTACTGTTGTGCCTGTATTCGGAAATAACGACCGATACAAAAAACTGAAGATACTGACAAGCTAATGATAGGAAAATTCAGTTTTCAATCACTGCAGCTTTGTAGCATGCTCAGCACTCTATATTTGAAACTTTCGAATAACTGCTCAAAAGTTAGAAAGTACAGAATAAAAAACTAACTTGACAATTTGATTTACTTAACTCTAAACCAATTTACATAAATAACAAATCGTTGCTTTGAGTGATAATTGTCAAAGAGTAAAAAAGCCTCTGAACTGAAGTCAAGCAGCTAAAAAAGAAAGAAAGCTGATCATTATTGTCACTGATATGTCTAACATCAAAACTTTTGACTGCAAATAGTTTTACAAGCAGGAAAATAAGGAACTAAAAATAGCGCTGCAAAAAAATCAAACGGGGAAGAAAAAACCAGACTAGAAAAAAACTCGCTGACATATTGACCACCATTTTTTTCTTTTTTTTCATCTCAGTGCATTCTTCCAAAGTCACAACAAATTGCCAATACAAATAGATTACTGTTCAGTTGTAAAGCACAACGTAAAGAATAAATTTAAAAAAAAAATCAAAGCGTGAAAAAAGTGATGATATCATTGAGCAACAAACAATTAACACCCCGATTTGCAACAGCAGAAAAAAAAAAAAAAGCAAAAAAAACTTCTTTTTATCAGCGAAAAGGAAAACCCATTGTCCCAGTAATCTTTGATCCCAAAAAGAACAGATGCAAAAAATTAAGAGGCCAAATTTTAACGCTAACATCTACCGCTGCCTTTGGATCTTTTTTTGCGACTCATTCTCAACACCTCCCTATCAAACTGCTGCTACTAACGTTCAAAGCTGAGCCGCCTAAAGTACCCTTCAACTTTGCTGCACAAACAACACCCCTCCACCTTCAATTATATTCTGCTTACATCCCTACTGTTCGTGTTTTTAGATTAGTTCTTTTCCAACATTGCCACTACCATAATCATCAACTAATACTGCATGATAACTGAATCTAAAACTATGCAAATGAATAAGTGTAACTAGCAACCTTTGCTTCATTGATTTCTTATATTTTCTTCGAGACTGCAGCACTACATTTAAGCATACAAACTACAAACTCAACTTTTTTCAATGGTTAATCTACCTTCAGTTTTTGTTTATTAGGGAGGTTCATGATGTCGCTCTAATTTCGTAAAACTTTCACATCTGTCAATCCATCTCTTCTTAACTTTCTTTGAATTTAACAATAAAATTTTACGTTGACTCCTTTGCAGTTTTGCAACTTATGTTCCCAGTCAACTACGGTACAGTAGATGGTTGTTTTGCTTTGTAATGGACCGTACACCATTCAGTTCATTTCTGCTCAAACTTTACTTTTCACTCTCCTGTTTATTTAAAAGTATTTGATTTCACTGCTTTCATAGTAAACATTCTTTCGCAAAAAAAAAAAGAAAAACAAAAGCCCGATCAGGAGTGACCTGAAACCTAAGTTTAAAGTAATTCCAAAACTGATAAATAAAGTCGTGGGTAAAACAGATGACCATTTTGATATGTATATTGTATGTATACAGGTCCGTGAGAAACCGTTCCCCAGTGAATCCTTTAGTCCCTCCACACTACGGGTCAATAATTTCCACTGACGAAATAAAACGGTGCTACAAAGGCAATCTTATGTTGGCCATAAAATTGTCGAGAAATGTGCAAACTGTGAGCACGACTTTCGTATAGGTTAACTTGAACCTTCTAAATTTAAAAGATTTCACTTACAAACTGCAGACAATACATAATCTTACTATATTTTAAGTAAGAAATGATATGGAACTGCACAAGAGCTTAAACGGCACTTTAGCCTTAGATTCCTAGAAAATTAAAAAGAAGTAAACAGACAAATCAGAAATTGTCACAAGTGAGTTGAAAGAGACTGAGAATTGAGCATACAAAAAATGAAGGTAGGTTAAAGACAAAAAAAAAAGGCATATTTGGGCGTCAGTAAGCTCAAATAAAATAGTGCAATCATAACTATCAAACAACAACAACCAAGCAACGGTAATATAAGGTAGAAAACTAAATCCAACGCTGATTAACTGAGGAGCCAAAAGTGGCTGCAGAGTAGCATCTAAGCCGATAATACTGGTGACGATGTTGTTGAATGTTTTCCACCCAAACAGCCCTATTCTGTTT